CAGCAGGATATGACAAATGATTTTTCCAGCCCTGCAAACATCGTCCAGCACAGCAAAAATCATCCAGCACTGGCTATTGGGGACATGCATTCGGTTGTTCGATGCGGTTCGGGCGGTTCTTGATATGTTTTCGGTTCGCACGCCTCGGTTCGTTATTTATTGTTGGTTCTTGCGGTTTCTGTTCGCACGGTTCGGTTCGGTTATTGATTTTCGGTTCTTGCGGTTCCGGTTCGTGCGGTTCCGGTTCATTCGGTTCCGGTGCGGTTCATGGCCTTCATGGATGTATCTTTGCAGAGATAAATGCTAAAGGGTCAGGCTACAACTGCTCGAAGGGCATTCCCAAAATTAGGCTCCCATTCTGGTACCCCTGGAGATTTTTAGGAACCATAATTTAACCTATAACAAAAAGGGGCCCATCGTTTTCGAGAATGACCCAGTCTTTACCATGACGGCGCAGCATTCTACTTCTGTCTCATGTTTGGCCTCGAGTTATCAAGTCCCAAAATGTCCTTAATGTTAGCAGGCTCCAAAGCATCGGAAGTCTCCATGTCGTTCAGTTGCAAGCTACGTGTTGAGTTGGGGACGTCTTGCCAATGGCTAGTCCCTGTAGGGAGAAGGAGCTGCAGCCTCAGATTTTGATGGTCCTAGCTGGCCCGTGGCAAGCCTGCTGCTTGCAAAGGGTGAAGCCAGAGTCCTGTGAGTAAAGCGGCCAAGTCAGTAAAACCTTGAAAGCCAAACCAGCAAGAGTGGATCCAAAGCCATGACACCCTGTACTGCAGACCACCAAACCTCTGATACCCAAAGTAAGCAATAAACCTCGAAGATCTCAAAGACCTCAAATCCCCAAAGCTCATGCACCCTAAACTTTAAACCCTAAACCTCAAACACCCTAAACCCTAAATCTTAAACCCGAAACTTTCTAAATCTCAAGTCATAGCACCTGACATCCCCCACCACCAACGCGCAGGAATCGCACGTGCTGCTCCAGGGAGTCTCCAACACACAAACCTCCATGGCCGCATCCCGGCGAAAATGTATTGCTGGCTTTGAGATATGGAGGTTTCCTATTCTTAGGGGTGCTTTGTTGAGGGTTTCCCATAATAAGGATTATCGTATGTTGGGGTTTATATTGGCGTCCCCTATTTTGGGAAACTGCCATATAGTATGGAGTGTTGAGCTTCAAGGGGCTTCGTGGGGGTTGAAAGTGGCTGAATGTCTCAGGGAGAACACCTAAGACCTCAGAATTCGAAACTCACGGCCCCCAAACCTGAGTCCAATACCCGCCACCCTAGTACCTGGACCCTTGACCCCAAATCAAACCTTGCAATTCAAAATAAACTTAGGAGAAGTTTGCAGAGAATCATGACAGCGCACACCGCCACCTCGTTGAGATGGACGGAGCCATACAGAGGAAGATGACGGACCTCCAGGCCAGGCATTCTTTCAGGGGGCAGTAATAGGGTTTAGGGTTATGAAATTAGCCCCGTAGCAGTTCTTCTGGTTGGTGCTGAGTTCAAGGATATGGTAGGTGCTCTGTTAGGGAGTTCCCGGTTCGATTTCACGGGGCTCACGAGTAATCAGTCTACTGTTGAGAATCTGCTTGCAATGAAAAAGTGTTCAGGTTTCCTTTCCTGCATACCCACAGGCGGAGGCTCAACGCCGAACCTTAAACCAGGTCATCTTACTACTTACAGCCCAAAGCCATTAACTCCTACTCCAAGCCCCCAAAACTTCAAAGACACAAAGTAGGGAGACACTTCCAGATCCCGTCTGGACCTACAGCAGAAACTCAGAACTCCGATGAGCTAAAAGCCGGGCAGGAGTCGGTGACGAAGTGTTGCACATCTTCCTCAGAAAAATTGCGACGGGGCGTGATTGGGGGATTCAACGCTTAAGGTAGCGCTGACGTGGCTCCAGGATTCAAAAGATCATGCAGCTTAGGATAGGGCATTGTTGAAACTCTCTATGTGGGGATCATGGAGAACACTAGTATGAGAGGGTACAAGCGACAAATTCACACCAGTATCTGGTCAAAACCAAAGAAATTTCAAAGGTGTGGGTTCAGGGCTTTCTGAACTGTGGTGGGCATATTTGGCACGGCGTTTATATGATTGCATACATGTGTAAGTGACATGTGGAAGTGTGTATGCGTGCTAGGCAAGTGATCCAGGGCCCGTTTTGGAAGTCCTAGGAACAAGATTTCAGAAGTCGGTGTTCACCACCCACCCGCATCTGAACGAATAACTGAATAACTTTGTACCAAGTTTGCAGATTCTCCACACAAGATTTCCCAGTAGCATCAGAGAAGGGGTGTGGTTCCGAGCCATGCGAGCATGAACTTATTTCAAGGCGCAGCGCGTGTGTTATGCAGCCAATTGCATTTTGCACATGCAATAGTAACTATTGCATAGGAATTACGTTCCATTCCCTCTATATAACTCGTATATACTATACCCCTATATAACCCATTTTAGTAGCTCCCATTTTCTTTTCCATTCTCCCTATATAGCATGGCCTATATCCTTCTGTTCACCTCGGTGCCTCCCCTGGAGTACATCATCGTGTCCCGCGCCATGAAAAGCGTCACCGATCTTATGGTTGTTTCGAGACCCGGGGAAGGTGACTAGTCCCAACCCCTAATTAAGCCCTTCGGCCTTGTGCCCATGCATGTCTCCATGAACCCTGAGCCACATTGAGATGTTTGCAACAGACTTCTTCTGAAACGCAGTGCAGCATTTCAAAGTTCAGACGCCCAGCCCGCAACTCTAGAATCAAGCTTGATCTGTTCAAACCTAGACACCAGTGCCAGAGAATGCAGGGACATATAGATAATAGAAAATAGCAAAAATATTAGTAATTCAGAAAAGAGTCCTGCGGTGAGGCTCAGCTCCATGCGCGAAGACATGACAACTCTCAAAGACCAGGGAACAGCCATTGTGGACAAGGCCTGTGGGCTTCAGAGTTCGGAAGGGCTTTCTGATGGTGTAGGAGCGCATGAGGTTTCGAGGTTCAGGAGAAGCTTGCGAGAAGTACGTGAGTTTATAGTCCCCCTTAAGTAGATACAAATATGGCTTTGGGTATATTATAATAGGATCCCCATATACCCCATATTCTATCTGCTTAAGGGGGACTGTAGGGTTATAGGGGGATGTATGGCCAAAATTGCCAACCGCTCATCCAGCTTTGATGACTGGCGTCCAGCTTTAGCAGGCGTGAGCGGATGGCTACTGCAAAGCTTGCGTGATGGTCTGAGCCTGATTCAGCCAGACCTCTGGCTACCCCCAATGAAATCTAGACAACTGCCATGTCGCTTAGGTGCAGGAGCTTCAGTATATGCACATTAGATTCCTGAGGCCCCTGCAGTGTGAAACAGCTGTTAGTGAAGGACTGGAATCATTAAGACCTTTGCAAGACCCAAGAAGCTCCAATGCAACTTAGACACAGGTCGAGCGCTCGGCGAGTGTCCAAGAAGATCGGATATCAGACATCCGCAGGTACCGGATTGGGTGTTTAAGGTTTAAGGCTCGGAGGTCATGAACGTTTTGTCTTACTTACGCCAGTGATTTCTGTTCTTACACATCCCTTGCTCTGGTGCGTGGATGTAAAGGTTCAGAGCCCTGGGGCTGTTGAATGTTGGGCTTCTGGCTTTGGGTTCAGCCGTCGGCTTGGCCCATGATACGACAGCTCCTTTGAATATGTATTGCTGTGGATCTCCAAGCGTATTAGAAATAGCAATAGTAATGTCAAGAGCAATGGCATAGTGATGGTAAGAGTAAGGGCAACCACGTCAGTAGTAATAGTATCACACCCTCTTCTCAGGATTCAGGTCTTGGAGAATGTGGGCTCAGGAAGACGTTTTCGAGGCTATCCTACAGGCTCTCGCAGATAAAAATTCACTCTTGAGGGCTCGTGTGTAGAGGACCCTCAGGTTTGGGTAATGGCTCTATCACTCCTTGGAGTTGTTCCTGAGGTATTTGTCAAATAATGGTAAGCGATTCAGAATAAAGCCCAATCAACCATCAAAAGGCTGAAGCCTCAAGGCCCTTGCGCCAGGCACAGCATGATGATCATGGACATCTTGACAGGAACTCAGGAAGCGATTCAGAACAGCCTCTGGGCAGCAGATAGATTTCAGAGCTCACATGATGCGTGAGGGGCATTTCGAGTTCCATCTTCAGGGAGTGCTGACGCCCACGTCCGCAAGCAGACACGCTGAAGTCAGGGATGGTGTCCGGATATCATAGCAGCTTCTGACCAATGTAGCTCTGGGGTTTAGGGTGATGGGGGCTTTAGCGAAAACTGAGAGACTCTCTGCAGGGGAGAGCTAAAACGAACCCAGAGGCCATACACTTGGCCTGTTTCCCAGAGTTCCTCAATGCTACCGTACCGCAGGCTGATCAGGTTTCCCTTGACAACAATTCACTTCCTAAACCCTAAATACTGTAGCAGCTTCCATCTTATTTTTCCATTATCCCGATATATAGGCACTTTATTAAGCCCAGATATATATATATATATGTATATATATACATATATATACCCCCCCACAGAGCTTAACCCCAAAAGCCAAGGCTTGGAGTGCATTCAGAACTTCACGCGTGCCGAGCTCATGCGGGATCCCGCGGCCCAGTTAGAAACCTCAATGCGCGAGGTGCTGAACAGGCAGATGCTCGCCCCTGCCTAGCAGTACCTAAAGGGTCCGGGGGATTTTGGAAGTGGGTTAATAGAACTAGGGTTACTGTATGGTTTCTTGGGGGTATTAAGCTACTTTCTAAGTCCCCCTTAGTGGTTGTAGAGATGGCGGTAAAAGAGCTGGTAGAGGTGAAGTAGGCGGAGGTGGTGAGAAGACTGGAGGGCAGTTTGGTCACAGCACCGGTACAAGTCGTGCTGTTTGCAGTTCTGCTGGTTTGAACACTTCGTACCAAAAATCTGCACTGTTCTTTGGTGCCAGCAGTTGAAGCATGGACACTGCAGTTGTGTCGCGTTTGTCTTCACATTGTCTGGTGTCGCGCCGCGGCCGCCGCTGCTGCTTGTTGCGGTGGTAGAGGTACTTTCGTGGTAGCGGCGCTGGTGCTGGGACGTTGGGGTGGTGGTGGCTGTGGGTGACGGAGCAGGTGGAGCTTGATGTTGCTCATGCTCTTGCTTGCGGAGCTAAGGATGGGCAAGCTCAAGGAGTCATTGATGGGGGAGGATGGTCCGGAGGCGTTGCATACCAAACTCTCCCAAGTCTTAAGCCCCATTTTGCCCTTGTGAGTGATCCCTACAACCCTGAAACCAGAAATTATTCAAATGCCCCGCAAAGAGTTGTGGTCGCCCTGAGGCGCTCAATCTGAAGGACTTGGTGTCAGGCCTAGCGGGCCGCCTTGAGACCAGCGCTGAACGCCTGGAGCTCAGTCAAGCCAATGCTCCGGCGCCCGGGCACGTTGAGGAGGCTATCCGCCAGGAGCTGGAGGCTGTGGCTCTGGCCCTTTCACAGCAGCAGCGCGAGAGCGGTCAGGACTTGCAGGCGCAGCTTGGTGAGTTCCTGCGCGGGGAGCTCGGCACGCTCAAAGAGGCGCAGTCCGCCACCGCCGTATCCTTGCAAGAGAAGGTCGGCGAGTGGACAAGCGCAGTCAGCGAAAATGTGAGCCGTGTCGAGGCCGGGCTAGAGAAGGTGCTGCAAAGCGTGGAGGAAAAGGAAAAGGAGAAGGACAAGTCGGACAAGTCTGCAGCCTCACCTGCTGCCCGTGACCGTCGCAAAAGCCAGAACAGCGATCGGCCATGAGCCATGCCAGCCAAGTGATGGAACCGTTTCAGAGGTCTACTCTTGTGAGCAAGCTGAAGGAGGCTCTGAATCCTCTCCCCAGAGACCAACGCCCAAAAAAACATACCCACTGTCTTATTCCCCAGCGTTAGATCCTCTACCCCTTGGGTGGTCAGGGTTCATCACGCGGGGATATTTCTCAAAGAGGGCGCCTCCATTGAGCAAGTCCGACCCTCAATTTGGATTGTCGCCACTTCTAAGCTACATTCATTGTAGTTATACATGACCGGGCGGATAGTT